TTTTAGTAGGAATTGGTGCTTTTTGCAAAAAAATAGAAACTTCTTGAATCACCAGTATTGCACTTTCCTTTGTTGTAAGCTCTACAACTCTTACATTATATAGATCATTATATTCATGATTAGAACAAGAAATGGGATTGGGAGCTAAACAATTTGAAAGTTTATAAATAAGGGCCACCTCAACACACCGTACAGTGGTCCAGAACTGTCTAAAAATGGCAAAACTTTTTATGGGTTAAATACAAACATGGCATACGTGTTTAAAGACGTTTTTAGGATCAAGATTTAATTTTTAAGTTGTCATAACCACACATCAACATTTAATTTTTAAGTTGTCATGACCTCACAAGTGGTTATTTTAGAGGTCGTCAAGGGTGCTCATGGGGTTTCTTGATGGTTTTTAAATTAGATGGGATATGTTGTGTATTTAAATATAAGTAACTGGAGTCCGGGAATTCAAATCTGAGCGTATTTGGTGTGTAACCCCGCTCAAATCGTAATTTTAGTAGTGGTCAAAGGTGGTCCTGAGATGTCCTAATGTTTTTCAATTAGATGTGACATGTTACAATACAGGTAATTGCAATCAGGGAACTTGAAACATGGCATCTTTGGTCTTCAAGAGTTGTCGTGACCGTTCAGTTAATCATTTAAGGGGTGGTCAAGGGTGGTCCTGGAATATCCCGATGGTTTTTTAATTAATTGGTACATCTTGTATGCCTAAGTATAGGTAATTATTATTAGGAAAATTAAATCTGGCCATATATGGTCTCCAGGAGTGGTTATAATTGTACAAGTAATTGTGGTCGTGGGTTGTAAAGATATTATTGTGATTTTAATATTATTTATTTATCTAATATATATGTATATATATATATATATATATATATATATATATATATATATATATATATATATATATATATATATATATATATATATATATATATATATATATATATATATATATACAGTATATGGGTACTGGCTTTAACGCTTTATCTCTATGTGCAGCACATATCCATATATGTACTGATCATGCACAAATAAAAAAAAAAGAGAACCAGAGTTAATAAAAGAAACAAGTTTCATTGTTTAATTTGCGACGAAAAATGAAACAAGTTTTATTGTTTAATTTGCGACGAAAAGTATCATGATCCATCCACGGAAGACCGGAGACCACGGAACACCGGAGACCACGGAACACCGGAGTATGTTTTTTATGGGTATACTTTAAATGAAAGTTGTTGTTGCTTGATATAATAAGCAATTGTTTAAAGCATATGTCAAGGTTTTGACCATTTTTTTGCACTTAATTTTTGAAATTAGCATTTTATTTGTTAGTTAATTATTACCCTCAATAGGTTCAGATTGGAAGTTTTATATATTTTTTTCTTTGTCAAACAATTTTAAATTGAAAGTTATAACGAAGATCAATAATTAGAGTGCAGTGCATTTAATCAGACTTGGGAGCAATAATTTATGATAAAAATTTGTTTAAAAAAATAAATAAATTAGAGACAACTAAACTTTTAAAAAAGTTGTTTGCAACTGTTGAGTGTCAGTGTTTTTTTAGTTGTTTGCAGATGGGAAGCAAATAAGTTTTAATGATACTTCGTGTTACGAGGTGCTAATGATATTAAACTTTAGTATAAATTTCAGTTAAATGTATGTTTTAATATTATTAATAATATTGTCTATTTAAAATAAAAGTGTTACTGAAAAATCTATTGAAAATTTTCCAAATTTTTTCACTAAATTATTATGAAAGACTAAAAATGCAAAAAATTGTGGCAGCAAATAACGAAAAAGAAGTTTTCACCTTTTGTTTGGTCTTTTCAGTTTTTAACTTGATAATTAAACAAACAATTTTATCAGTTAAATCACTTAACCATTCATTACCGAAAAAAGAAAAACCAGATCCATTCCCTAAATTTTTGAATGAAATAATTCATTCAGCGGGCTGATTTTGAAATAAAACTTTTTTGTATACTATTTCCTATTTTATATTTTTTGAATTTTATAAACCAATTCTGTGTCAAATAGTTCTCATAATCAAACAAGTGACTTAATTTATTGAGATGAAGTTGTCTTAATTTATTGAGATGAATTTGTCTGAATTTTGATTCATTTGAGCTAATCTTTTGCAATTATCTTTAAGGTTTTTCTTAGATTTAAAAATTAGAACAAAATCATCCTTAACAAAAGATGTCCAACAACTCTCGCAGCATGCTCTCCCGCGGTTCTCTGTGATAAGACCATAAGACCTTTTAAATAATTTTCAGAAAAATTTCTTAATAAAAAGGAATAAGGTTTCAAAAATTATCACATCATCTTTAATAAGATTGTAAGCTATAAATTGATTTTATGATTCCGACGTTATTTTGACATCAGCCCGACGCAGTGTGCTGTTCGGGTTTAACCTCATTTATGTTTAATTTTTTTTTTCTTGCTTATTACATAGTTTTAGAAAATAGTTTTAATAATCTTAAGCAACCAAAGTTTTAGTTTAGAGTAGTTATGAAGGTAATTTAATCTATGGTACATTAAATTCTATATTATAGACATTTTTAAAGGAATTTTACGAATAGGATTTTTTAGTTGCTTAAGGTGGTACCCAGCCATTATTTCTATTTTCTTATATTTTACACATAATAAATACCTTTTATGAATTACTAGCATAATAGATAAAAATCTAAAACGTATTGCAAATATTTTTTTTAATCTTTAAAAAAAAATTGCTGACTCAGCAGAAAAAGGTAAAAAAGTTAACGTCCCAAGAACATAAATATCGTAAGATTACATCAATATTAAAGGTTGAAATTTTGCAAAACGCTAGTATATTAGTGTAGCTTGTGCTTGAACAAAAAATTAAAAAAAAAGTTCAAACAATCAAAAATGGCAGATTTAATAGTATAAAAAACTATTAGCGATAAAACACTTATTTGGTATGGTAATTGTGGATTAAGTTTGATTTTTTTAAATTTTATTTTAGATTCAGGCACTAAAAACATTAATAATGAGCATATCCTAAAAATTTAGAGCTAAAATAATTTTTTTTTTTATTGAGATATCATTGTTTTCCTACAGCTAGATTTGAAATAGTCAGCTCAAAAAAAATTTCAAAATTTTTGAGTTGACTATTTCAAATTAGCACAATTTAAATGTTTCCTTTTTTCAAAGTTTTAAATGCTGTTTTTGTTGAACTGAAATTAAATTGCATGCATGATTTAGTTGTTTGGAATGTTGTCCTTAGATAAGTTATTTATGTTTTGAACTTTATGTTTACGATATTTATATTTGTATATCTTTACCCCCAATCTGTGACTGGTTACTTGTAAATATTTTGTAATTATAAAATAAACTTGTTTAAAAAAAAAAAAGTCATAAAATTAAGTTAAGCTAGTAATAAAGGAAGAAAACTAAAAGAATTGTTTAATAGATTTTATTAAACAGATGATGAATCATGTCTTCATTAAGATGATGAAATATGTCTTTGAATTGAAAACATTATATTTTAAATTTTTTTATGTACATATGCATAATAAAACAAGTCAATGCTGCATTCGGTCGAAAATCATATTAGGTAAACATGCTTTGTTTAGTGGGCTAGTGCTTGTTTTTCTTAAGATAAAGCTTTTAAATAAGCATCATTAAAAAAAAAAGCAGTATGAGTCAACAATTTTACTAATGATAGCATGTTTTCTTAATAACTTTTAAACTTCAATCCTATAGTATGAACTTGGTTTCTTATTACAGCGTAAAAGTAAATATAACAACTCAAATGGTGTAGTATTTGTAACATGATCATTGAATAAAAGTTAAACTTTTTATTACTTTCAGATTTCAATACAATCTTTATTCCGGTCGCATTAACGTTAGATATTAGTAAAGAAATAAGTTTATTTTTATCCACTACTTTTGTAAAAATAACATAGTGTTTGTTGACAGCAACCTAATAAAATCCTAAAAAGTCAACCAGATGGCAGAAGTTTACTTTTCAAGAATTTTCGCAATTGTATCGAGATTTGATATGGGGCATAGATTTCTTAGGTCAAATTCTGCAAGTCCTGATTTTTTGGGAATGCGTGTTATTTGAGCAACTTTATATGAGGCTGGGAAATTTCCGGATTTGAATGAGAGGTCAGTAAGGTGAGCAATAATTAAACTGAATATTTCTGAACAAGATTTAAGTATGTTTGTTAAAATAATATCAAGTGGCGATGTCTTAGGTTTGAGAGTTTTGATTATTTTTGACACATCTGAAGGTGTGACTGTACCAAATGTTGTTAAAATATCAAAAAGGGAGATAAATTTAGATATTAGGATTTTCGGAAGCATTCCCTAGATAGTATTCTTTATAATTTTGATTTTGCGTATGAAATATTGACTTATTATATCGCGTTTTGCTTCTGGTATTGTGTTATTAGTTTTAGAATTATTCAAATGTAGTAATTTCTTGGCAATGTTCCATGTTTCTTTTTGATCACGGTATGATGAATTTATTTTCGCCTTATAATGACTACATCTTGATTTGTAAATTGCTGCTGTCTCTCGGCATGCAGTTCAATATAATTTTTTATTTGATAAATTACCATTTTTTCTATAACAACACTCCAGTTTACGACGTCTAACTTTTTTATTCTTGGAATCTGAAGATAACCACTTATCATCATGTTTACCAATATGCATTGAATATTTTCGAATGGGTGGTAAATGATCAAGAACAGTCGTTATACTTGATCTTATTTGTTCAGCATAATCATCCACGTTGTTTTCAGGTAATAAGCAACATGGTATCACTTGCAATTTCTTTATAAAGCATGGCATGTTTAGTTTTCTAAAGTTTCTTTTTGAAAACCAAACAGTTTTAGTATTTGAATGTTGATGATAAAGTTCTACCCGAGTCATATAGAGATCTAAAAACCCTCATCAGTTAATTGGATACTTGAGTGAAGTATCATCTTGTCGATTTATTACTAGATCAAGAAAGTTGGCTATACTAGTTGTAGATGATATGTGAGTTGGAGATTGAACTCGTTGTATCATGCTGTAGGTCTCTAAAATATCGTCAAGTTTTGAATTGCAGGTTATTGCAGTAGTACCTGGGCAGTTAAAGTCACCACACAAATGTATTCCTCCAGATAATGTTTGAAATTCTAGAAGTTCAGGTAATTCGGAAAAGAAAATGTTTGTTGGAATGATTGGATTTAATAGACAAATAGCAACAATATTGTAGATAATAATGCCAGATTTAGCCGATGTACGTTCATAAGGCAGACAGGTAAACGATAATGAGAGTGGTTTGGTATTTAAATTTTTTTTTATGAAAGTTGATACCCAAGTTTAATGCAGAGGTAATCAAGTTTAATGCAGAGGTAATCAAGTTTAATGCAGAGGCTCTTCTAATTTTATATGTAAATTATGCCGATTTAATTTTGATCGATTTGAGATCACCTGATCGTTTACCCCAATAATATTTTTTTCCATTGTGTACATTGTATCGTTTCCATTTGTTCCCTCAATCTCTTGAGCAAGTGCTGCATTTCTAGTATTTCTAACTTTTATGAGTTCACTTATTACAATTTCTCGTTTGCTGTTTTTATTAATAAAAATATTTTTTAATTTAATACTATCCTTTAACTTTAATTTTCATTATAAAATTTTGAGTTTCTTTGTTCTCTAATTCAACTAAGATGAGTTCAGGTGGTCCTTCTGGTCTTTTAGCATTTTTAGTTAGTCAAACTTTTTTTTTTGGATTTGTTATTGAAAAATCCAGTATAATTCTTTTTAGTATTGTTTCAATGGTTTATTTATCATTTTCTTCATTAATTTGTTTGTCTAAAGTAGTATGATCAACAACTCTACTTATACCGATGTTGTTTTCAATTCTTTTTTTATTGTTAAACTCATTTTTAATTTTTGCCATCATTACCACTTCAGTTTTTTTTTTGTTTTAATTGATTTTTAAGAATTGATGTGGCTTGTGCATATGTGAATATTGTTGTTGATATATTTATTGTTGCTGTTAAGACATTAATCTTTTCATCTTCAAGAATTTTATATTGTTTTAAAAGGTCTGAAACAATATATGATATTTTGCCACACCATTTATGCATGTTTTTAGTATCTTCAGCAGATGCACTTAGAATTGTTGGCCCATTTGGTTCTTCTAAGAATTCATAGTTGAATTCCATGCTTCTTTTTTTTTTAATATATAAGAAGGCTTCTACACTATATAACAGTGGATTATCTCTTAAGTATATATATATATTAATCTTATTTACACAAATACTGTAAAAAGTTTAGATGTGTTTTTTTCCGTATATATATATATATATATATATATATATATATATATATATATATATATATATATATATATATATATATATATATATACACATATACATTATTGGTGAAAGAGGATTACACGATATTCGATAACAGTGTAGCCTATATAGTGTGGCTTTAGTGATGCATTATGTAGCCTAAAATCCGCTTTCATATATATATATATACATATATATATATATATATATATATATATATATATATATATATATATATATATATATATATATATATATATATATATATATATATATATATATATATATATATATATATATATATATATATATATATATATATATATATATATATATAGACTTTTGTAAGTATATGAGGAGCTTATTTTTATGCTATTATATAAATACTTATTACTTAATAATTGTTAAGTTACCCTTCACAATTGTAAATTACTAACTTGGTTGAATCTTTAATATATTTTTTATGTTATATTATATAAACCCTATTTATATATACACATATATCTTACACTGCTGAGTTAGTTAAGCGTGATGACATCATACTGAACATTGGCTTCAGTACATACTTCGACTGACAAATAGCCTGACTCGCAGTGGAGTGCTGCTACATTGACTGAGGGTTTGGTATGGGTCAGGAACCTTTTCATTCATTATTCTTCGTTTTCCCTCATCGTTTTCTCACAATGTTCACTTATTTAGACTAGCAAAAAAAGTGAGCAATTGCGCATATAAATATACTATAGTAGATATATATATATATATAAAATTTTTCTAAAATTTAATTACTCTAAAATAAATTAAATGACCCACCCTAATATATGTGACCCACCCTAATATATATATATATATATATATATATATATATATATATATATATATATATATATATATATATATATATATATATATATACATATATATTGTAGTTTGCAGAGACCATGCCCAAGTATTCCGAGAATGAACTAGAAAATTACTTTGAAGATATCCTGAAAAGATCGCAGGATAGAAAAGGCCTCAGTGACCGTGAAAAACTAAACCACAACGACAGCTTTTAATTTGTTTTTTAGATAATTATAATTTAATATATGTTTTTTGTTGATATGTATTTTTATATATATTTAAAACTTTTGTATAATTCTAGTTTTATGTTTTATTCGTTTTAATAAATAATGCACACATTTTCTAATCCTCGTTATATTTTCTGCATGTTAAATTTTTGTTCCTAAAACCCAACAAATTCTGTGATTGCTAAAATACACTCATTGTATAACGTCTTTTGAACGTTCGCTCATTGTTTAATGTCTTTTAAACGTTCAAAAGACGTTTAGTGCGTCTTTTAAACGTTTAAAAGACGTATTGTCAGACCAATTTTGTATAACTGCACTTAAACGATTAGTCTTATTTAAGTCTTTTTACGACGTCTTTAGACGTATTTTAATGGACCTACAAAAACATTTTTTACTGGTTTTTTAAATGTCTATATGAAGTGGTTAACTGACGTTTTTCTGAAAATGTTATTTATTGCTTTTTATTACGTCTAAATGAAACGTTTTGTCGTTTTTAACATTTTTCTAACAACCTTTTTTTTAAGTATAAGTTATTTAAGTAAATAACTTATGTTGTACAGAAAAATACCTTTTCACAAATGAAAACTTAGTTCTAACAGTCTAGATCCGTATAAATAACTAAAAGTTTTAAAGTTTTGTGTTTATTTACAATTTAAGCATACAAAAACATAATAGTTTTTTTGCTATTCTATCAAGTTATTTATTCTATTATTCTATTTTGCTATTCTATCAAGCTATTTATTCTATTATTCTCTTCAAACAATCGCCTTTCAACTTATCAACCAAATCGAATTTTGCTGTTGTGACACTAATAATCCTAATAAAGAAAAATACCAATAGAAATCTTTAACTTATAAATAAAATACCAAAATAAAATACCTTAGATATCTCTCATGCATTTCACTAGCATTTAAAAAAAAAAAAGCATTTAAATGTAATGGGTAATGGAAAATATCACACAGTAGGTTAAAGGAACAATTTAAAAATTTAATAAGTATCTATAATTACTCTAATCAATAAAGTTTTTTCAAAATGATCTATTTCCATAAGTTCCAGGATTCATAAACAATGGTCGAACACATTTTGACATTCATCCAAAACATTATTAGCAGAGCTGATAAAGACCTTAAAAAATCATAGATAATCAATTAGTTTGATCACATTTTACTTTATTTAGGAAAACTTTATACATAAATGTAAAAAAGAATATTACAACAAATACAACTTGCTTTATTATTTAAAATTATTTTACTTTTATTAAATAAGTTGTTAAAATATAAATACTTATTAAATAATAATTGCTCAGTTACCCTTCACAAATATAAATTGCTAACTTGATTGAATTTTTATTATATTTTTTATTTTATATTATATAAATATATACACCTATCATTTATTTTATCATAATAAAATTATGAATCTTCAAACTCAATCTTTCCCCCCAAGATATTCACTGCAGATAAAGACTTTTTAAGAATTTAGGCGTCGTAGTTCCATATATATTGCAGATTGAAAACCTATTAGAAAAAAAAAGTTCGAAATGAGTAAAATATTAATAAAAAAAATGTTGCGGAAAACTGAAAATTAAATTAAATACTTATATAACAATATATTATAAATATTTATTACATAATAATATAATATAAACATTTATAATGGATTATTATGCATAATGTATTATTTAGCAACTTCTTAAAAATACATTCACATTTTTAAACATTTCGAAAAACATTTTTCTGGTTTTATTTAGCATAAAATGTTGAATAAAAACAGATGAACTTACATTTGGCAAATTTTTGCATTTTAATATCAGGACTTGCTTCTCTAATGTGCAAACAATTGTGATATGTTTCACTTATCGTTCTAAAATTGAAATTAAAAAAAATACACAAATTATACACCTAAATCTTATATAAAAACATTGAAGTATTTAATTAAAAATATTAAATAAAACACCAATTTTGAAAAATTATAAAAAAAACTTGCATATATAAGCTAAACTTAAAACAACAAACTGGTTCTTGAAATTTAGAACATGAAGACTATGAATCACTTTATGCAAGCATCTTACATCTCTTTAGTTCTTTAGTCAAGATTTATGTTTGTCAATATTTATAATTGCCTTTCATTATTAGGTGAAAAAGATATTTTTGTATTTTTTAACTTAACATACAGTCGCTTACTTAATTTTTTTGTAATAAATAATTGTTGCTACTCAATAAGGTCTTCCGGTGTCGCGGTAAATTAGGACTCAGGAAATTATGACTTCGAAAGTCTTAATTTGGCGGTAAATTAGAACCTTTCGAGTTTAGATTTTCCTGGAAATTAGGAGAGTAACGGTAAATTAAGACTCCAACAATCTTATGAAATTGAAAGATCATTACGCTATAAGGTGAATCTGAAATAACATCGCGCAACGCCTAGAAAATTAAGTTGAAAATGCACAGAAAACTGGTTAATAAAGACTTTATTGCTATCTCTTCCACTAAAAAAAAACACCAACGATAGGTAAAAGCTCCCTTAGAGAGCTTAGAGAGTCTCTAAGATGAGTAAAAGAAGATGAACTTTTAAAATACGTAGAGTTTGAAAAAATTGATTCATTTAGAATATTTTGCAGTTAGTTATATCATGGAAGACTTGATAATTCATTAGTTTATCTATTTATTTATTTTTCGATGTTATTTGCAATCAAAAGAGCATTAAAGCAATACTAGTATTAGTAAATTGTGTCTTATAATAATAATTTATCATATAAAACCTATCATACTGGAGTTGTATTCAATATTACCTCGTTAGTTAAAAATTGTATTTATAAGTTCAAAAGTTGGTCACATCATTTGGATATTTGATTTCTTTTAAGAAGTCAGAAAAGAAAACTAATCAAAAAATAATCAAAAAAACTGTATGTTATTACTAGATGAAGTTAATGTGAAACCTATGCTAACTTATCACGGGAACATTTGTTTGGTAAAGCAAATATTTTAATCAGATCACCTTCTTTCGAAGCTTTTTTGATGTGAACCGTAAATCAGTAAACAATGAATCAAGTTTTGCAACGACTATATTGGCTGTCATGGTTGTATGTTTTTATGAGGGAACAAAACTTATAGAAAGAATGTTACCAGTAAACCATTTGGATTTTGTATATAATCAAATTATTATCCTAATCAACCAAATTAAGAAAACAAATAGAAAAGTTATCGCTTTAATTAATGATTATAATAGAATAAATCAAGCATTTTTTTTTTGAGCCGACGACACGGTTTTCAAAGTGTGTGCATGAAGGGGGGGGGGGGAAGAGGGGGCATACTACCTTATTTAAAAGTAAGTGAAGAGGGGCACTTGCACCCTGGCCCTACCTCTCCCCCTCCTTGCTGTTGGCCCTGCATATCACAAGATTGATAAAAATTGTTTTTTCAATTCACTAATTAGGTCTTATAATAACCTTCATCCAACTTATAAAAAAGACGATTATCAAAAAGAAGTCCAAAAAATATGAAATGAGATCAATTAAGCTTTTTTATTATTTTTTAAATAGGTAGTCATTGCCTGGGGGAGTGAAGTTGCCTAAAAAAGGATAACAAAGAATATAAGTGAGGGTCTGTCAAACATTTTATATAGTGAATGCGCATTTCATTCACAACAAATCAAACATCAAAAGAGGATTTTCCATCCAGCTATATACTTTCATAACCCAAAGCAAAGGCACCACACTTGAAACTATCAACTTGCTTATTAACGGAAAGAAATTTAACTTCAAGTTTTCCATTCTTCACAAATGGTTAAAAGTGGGATTTCAAAGATTTTCTCGAAATCGATGTTATTTTAGTGCGCAGGCTATCGTACACTTGAAACCTGCCATTTGAAGCGAATGCTAATAGCCAATGAGAACTACCGTCGTGCAATATTTGAAGGTGATCGGCAGGAAAATGTGTGGTAGATATGTGGACTTCTTTTTCCGATAGTTTAATATTGATTAGTAAGATTCACGGCAACCAAGAGCCTTACAAATTAACTTTTGCCCTGAATCTATAAAGTTAAACGTTTACAAAACGTTTGCAAAACGTATTTGTGCCTATTGGGAAATAGGAAATTGTTATTCAATTACATTATTAAAACTTTTTAATTTAAATAGTTATAAAAAAAGTGAACACATAATATACTGAATGTTATCAATAAATACTAAATATGTTAAAAACGAAGCATATTTATTGTAACTAATATGTTGTTCTGTTCCACCTCACAGAAGATTTGTCATCATTGGTTATTATCGACTTCATTTAATGAAGCATTGTTTTTTATTAAAATATAACGTGCAGCATTTATAAAGAAAACTATTTACACCGGGTAATATAACAATTAGAGTTTAAAAACTTTTTTTTGACATAACCACGAAGTATAACTTAATTTGTAATAAAAGTGTCTACACGGCAGAACAACAACTTCTAAAGGAAGTGCAAGACACATCTTGCACAATGTCTCCATAGGCCTGGTCTCTTATTGATGATCCTGGACATCAAGTCTTTGCATTTTAAGTCTCTATTTCTCAGAGTTCTAGACCATGCGTTAGCATTGGAACTGCTGAAGATTTATAAAATTGGATAATTAATGATGGATGTGCGATTCAGATACCAAATTGAATCAGAGTTTGCACAGTTGTTTGGAAATTTGATACCCTACTGGTAATATTTGATTTATTTAGTGAGACAAAATTGAATTTTTCTGTATCCCACATGTAGTCCAGATGATTAAGTTTTTCATTTGGTATTATTTGATGGTTTTTAGGGTTATCTTGCAATTAGTTACTAGTCGCTTTCCGGAAGCAAAACTTCCATTTTGACAGCATTGAGTTTAATGCCGTTTAAGTTATTGTAATTGTTACACGTTGTTACACGTTGTTACACGTTGTTACACGTTGTTACACGTTGTTACACGTTGTTATACGTTGTTACACGTTGTTACACGTTGTTACACGTTGTTATAAACCTTTTAAGATCAGATAGAGTAGAGTTAAGTAGAATGAATGAATTTAATTACAAAAAAAAAAATTAAGTTGCAGTTTCTTTTGTGCACGAACTTCTAAAATTTCTTTAAAATTCAAGCA